TCCACACCCCAACCCTGGCAATGAACTATTTGTTTTCTAACCCTCCAATTTTGATAGCTGTAGGTTTTCATTTTGCATTTTCATTTTAATTCTGTTCTATGTATTTTTTATTTCCCTTGAGGCTTCCTCTTTGACTCATGAATTAACTAGGTATGCGTTTAATTTCCAAGTTCTTGGCAACTTTTCTGTTGTCTTTTGTTATTAATTTCTAGTTTTATTCACTATCGTGAGATAACACATTCTATTCAGTTTCAATTTGTTAAAGTTGGTTTTATGATCTAAGATGTAGTCTGTCTTGCTTAGTGTTTCATGTGCTCTTGGAAAGAGTGTGTGTTCTGCTGTTTTGGGGTGGAGTGTTCAGTAAATGTTAATTAGATGCAGTTGGTTGATGGTGTTGTTCAGTTCATCTATAACTTTACTGATTTTTGGTTTACCAATTCTATCTATTACTGAGAGAAGAGTGTTGAAGACCCCCCATTATAATTTATCTATTTCTCTTTCAGTTCCATCAGTTTTTGCTTCATGTATTTTGAGGCTCTGTGTGTGTGTGTGTGTGTATGTGTGTGTGTGTGTGTGTATGCATATCTATATATATGCACTTAGAATTGTTATATATTCTTGCTTAATTGGCCTTTTTTATCCCTAGTAATTTTGTTTATTTTCAAGTCTACTTTGTTTGATAATATAGATGCACCAGCTTCTTTTTGATCAATGTTTGCATGGTATTTCTTCAATCATTCTATTACTTTTAAACTATCGATATCATTTATATTTGAAGTGAGTTTCTTGTAGACAATGTATAGTTGGACTGTTTTTATTTTTGTTGTTTTTAAAAAATCCATTCTGATAACCTCATCTAATATGTGTTTATACCATTAACATTTAATTTAATTATTGATATGTTTCCATTTAGGTCTACTACTTTATATCCCCTCTGATTTTCATTACCTTGTTTCCTCTTTCTTGGATTTGATTGTTTTATTTGAACACTTTTTAGTACCCCATTTCAATTTTTCTATGGTGATTTTGAATATAGCTCTTTGCATAACATTTTTGTGGTCACTCTATAAATTACAATCTACCTACTTAACTTTTTACAGCCTATTTAGAATTATTTCCACTTCAATTAATATATAGAAACCTCACCTTAAAAGGTCCCCTTACCATCCCTGCTTTATGCTATAGTTTCCTTATATATTATATCTATGTTGAAACATACATAAATATCTATTATATATAAATTATTTAGAACCCCACCAGTCAATATTATATTTTGCTGTGGTTTTTCCAACATTTTTCATGCTTTTGGAAACCTATTCAGCTATATATTCATATTTACTTCCTCCTTAGAATTCCTTAGAGTCCCAGACTGGGGCAGGAATTAGCAAGAATGAGAAATTTGCCATTCAGTGTTTAAAAATTGTCAATAATATTATAATTTAAAAGCAATATAAGTCATTAATAGAAATTTAAGCAGTATCCTGGGCAGCATCAAATGCCAGTGCCCACAAAGATTAGATAGAGTATTCAGAGCCCTGGCAATTTCAGGACACAATGGGAAAAGCTTTAGAATAATTCAAGGTTCCACTACTGAGCAGGCATTTAAAGCAGTTTCCCTGAAGTACTTAACCTGCCCTTTCTATACCCTGATCTGAATTATATAATTAAATAGGTAACTTGAATAAGTGTTAAGATTAAATAATATATATACATTTTATAATTTATAAAATTTAGAGTACCACTTATTTACATTACTTTTGTAAACATTAATTTTCTACTATCAAGATCATTTTTCTTAGAGAAAATATCAGTTTTTCTGACTGAGCACTTTCTGTCTACCGCCTTAAAAACCAGTCAATTCAAAAAATCACCATATCCTGGTCTCTTAGCTCCAAGGGCAGGATTTCATTTATATTATCATCATCATCACCACCACCACCACCATCAACCCCCAAAAGAGGTTGCTGAATGTGTATCCATGAGGAAGTATAAAATAATCAGTCCCTAAGTTCCTGTAGCCAATGATCTACATAAAAGGGTGTTACGTATGTGAAGTGTTTGTCAATGTTCTTTCATTATTACTTCCCCCTAACTCCAGGAGACTTTTCAAACATTTTTTTCCTAATCACCCCCTCTCAACTTCAGAAGGTGAGATTTTTAATACCACAGATGTAGTGTATATCTGTTTATGTACTGTAGTCCTTTGGAGGGTCAAAGATTATTGTAATATCTATGAAAACCCTACCCCCAAAATCTAATTTTTGGCCCCTTGGGCATAATGCCACATATATTGAGAATGCATGGTATATTGCGATTAGGACAAAATTTGGGACCCTATTCCTCCTCCATCCACCTCTTGGTCCATACTAGAAAATATATCATGACCAGATGCTCAGCCACAATAGACCATCCACAGAGCTACCTCAAGTGTTGATATGGAGCAGTGCTCAGGTCCCTACTCCTGGAGGAGACTGTAGACCTCTAACCTCATCCCTGTCTGGAAGAAGTTTCCCTTCCTTACTCTCACTGTGTCTTCAGAGGTCCTCTCTTCCCTACCAGGTAAAAAACAGCCCAATCATTTCTATAAATTTAAGTTTTCATAAAGGATGGAAGAAACACGGATTTCAAATAGCTTCTGCTTCCATCTCTGCCATAACTTCCCTTGAGGCAAGGGGAAGGGGCACTCCCTGATGCAAGGAGGATAAACACAGGGAGAATAGAGATTAACCACCTCAACAGTACGTGTCCTGATATATTTGCTAAAGCTATGCAATTAGCCAGTAAAGGGACTCAGGCTGCCAGGTTCTATCTCTGGCTCTGGCAGAGGCCTGATGAGAAACCTCTTTGCCATCTAGCTCTGTGGTTAGGAGCATATGCTTTGGAGTCACAGACATCCATGAAGAGAGGATACTGACACCTCACTAGCAAGGCTGTCATGAGATTAAATCCAGACATTAACGTGAAGAACCTGAAGCTGGATCCTCTAAACACTCTGCTCCATAAATATCTGTCTTTCCTCCCTGCAACAGGGAACTCATGTGGCTCCTGAACTGCCCCCTCAGCCAGGACTCCTTAACTAGATTGCAGGTCAGAATCCCAGTGGCATCCTTTTCTAAACCCTCAGTTGAATGTCACTTGTTGGTGGCAACAGGACTTCTGTATCAAAAGACATTCAAGTTATTAATCCATAATAATATGGGCCTCAGAAAATTGATATGCCCATTTTATACCAACACTGTATGTGATTGTTTCCCCTTCATACCATCAGCACCAGGTATTTTCTTTATTGCCAGTGTAATCTGCTCATTTTTTCCAGATCTGCCCCATTGCATGAGTCATCCCAGAGGGTCGTTAAGCTTATAGATTAACAATCTCCTCCCCTAGAGCTGCCAGATTTAACAAATAAGCATACATCCAGGACACCCAATTATATCTGAATTTCAGACAAACAAAACAATATTGCATCAGACTAAAAATTATTTGTTGTTTATCCGAAATTCAAATTTAACTGCCTTATAATAAATTCAATCTGGCAACCATACACATGGAGGACTCTGTGAAGTAGAACCAAAAGGCTCCAGTCAACAGCCCCCACTGAGCTCCCAGCACACACCTGCGCCAGTTGTCATTCATATGAGTTAGCACTCTCAGATATCCCAGCCAAGTGTAGCCTCCATGACCACAGCCCAGGTGACAGACACCACATGGAGCAAAAAACAACCAGCAGAGCTCAGTCAACACACAGAATCCTGAGAGATAAAAAGCAGCTATTGTTTTGGGATGTTTTGTTAAGCAGAAATGGATATTCAAAACATGTCATTTGAGTGTACTCTTTCTATCATTGGATAATATAGGTATTCCCTTATTCTAGAAGCCTTAGTAGGACTTTGTTATAATTTTTAGATATAGTCTGTCTGTGGGTTAATATGTGAGTATAAACTTCTGAACATTCCACCAATTCCTTCTTGAAGGGATTTCCAAGATAAATTTTTCTGATGTATGATTTTCATTCTACTCTTGGAATTTAGAAATTAATTCCAATCCTTTTCCATAAGGTGAGCTTCCACTATAATCATGCTTGTTAAGGGAGTAAGAAAGTGTTGTTATGAATGGCTCTACAGGCCACATGGAAAACCACATCCTCAGAAGTTTGCTTGGTGAGTATACAATCAGAACAGAGAGGTATTTATTCACCTTGAGAAGTGTTCCTCAAAGAAGGTGTCCTGGAATATTTTCTCCTGCTATAGAGATAACCTTTAGCAAGGAAGTCACTTTCTTTGAGCACACAAAGACAGGACTCCTTCAGCAGATAGCAGATGGAATGTGCATTTTAGTTCTTGACGTTTGTGGCTGTCTCAGCGTAGCCCTGCTGGGTGGATAAGTCTGTCCAATTCTGTAGTTCATTAATAGGAAGCCCACATGCCAGCACATCTAAGACACATTCTCCAATCTCACCTTTATAGGGAATAAAGTTGATGTACGATTCTCCTTATGCTTTTGCCATAACTCTTAGTTGGTTTAGAGCTCAAACTTGGAGTGGGAGTTACTTTGGAGGCCACTTAAAGACCCAAGCGTTTTGGAGCAAGATCATAGAAACAGTTGGGAAGCCAGTGAGACCCAGAAAATGGAAGAAGAGCTTTGAGCCTATTGGAATACCCACTGCTGAGGACAGAGCAGAACACATTTTCAAAAAGTTAGTACATAATATTGTACATGTTTATGAGGTACATGTGATATTTTGTTACATGCATAGAATGTGTAATTATCAAGTCAGGATATTTAGGGTATCCATCACCTCGAGTATTTATCATTTCTATATGTTGGGAACATTTCAAGTCCTTTCTTCTAGCTATGTTGAAATATATAATACATTATTGTTAACTATAGTCACGCTTCTCTGCTATAGAACATTAGAACTTATTACTTTCATACCAAGAGTTTTAAAGGGAAAGGGCCTTGGCTGTGCAACCGATGGTTCTCCTTCTCAACTTGCTAATCAGGTAACTGATTCCTGTGACAGAGAAGGAGTGAGTGTGCAGAGAGGATGGAATTGCTTTTGTCATGGATGGCCCACCACATGGATGAAAATATCGGAAATGGAGGGTAAGAATCCCCCAGGATAACTCAATACCGATGGTCCCTAACTTATGATGGTTCAACTTACGATTTTTCCACTTTATAATAGGTTTAGTGATGTATTAAATGCATTTTTGAATTATGATATTTTCAACCTAAAGATAGGATTGTCAGGACATAGCCCCATCCTACGTTGAAGAGCATCTGTATATGATTCCATTGAATAAGTTTCTGCTTACTAACTAAGTATAAGATTCTTGTTCTGATTCCTTGAAATAACTCTGAGATTCCTTAAATGACATATTTTGGTGTCTCTAGGTCATTCAGTTGCATGATTATAGGCAGTCTCTTAGTTTTCTGCCACAGATGACTGCTTAGCATGATATGTGAGTTGTACATGTTCCCCCTCAGAGGGCTGTCTCATCACCAAGAGCTTTAGGATAGCTCCCTGGGTCTCTGTGTACTGATGATACTCCTCTACTGTCACTTTTAAGCAAATAAAATTCCTGACAACAGAGTCATGCTTTGTTTCCACAACCTGCAAAATTCTTCCAATTGCCTGGGTCCCAGCCTAGTTCCTCTAATTATTACTATTAAGTTTTCTCAGGTGGTGGCCTGAAGAGTGAAGGTGTTTCACTTCCAGGGAAAGGTGAAGGCTTGAAGGGTAGGGTCGTGCAGAAGCATTTTCGGTGTGGAGGACAAGCCTGCGCATCGCGGTTACCATAGTAACCTGATGTCATTTTGGCGACTGTGACAACCATGACGACTTTTTAATGGAGACTGACTTGGCCTGGTGAGGAGAGCAGGGTTTCGTCTTCAGGTGTTTAGACTCAACTGTGGCTGTGGGTACTCTGCGATGTGGAGAGAGGAAGAGATCCCATATCCAAGTTTCCTTGTTCCCGCTTTAGGACAAGTTGCCCTCGCTGTCTGATGAGGCAGGGAGAAGTAGGACTCTCTTGGCCCCAATGAATGTGGTGTCCTGCTCCAGGGGTGTCCCGGAGCTACTTTCCAAGTAAAGGCAAGGTGCCAAAAAATGAGACAGGTAAATACTCTTTCTGAGCCTAGGGTCTTCCTCTGTGAAATGGGGATAAAAATGCTCACCCACGGGATTGCTGGAACCTTCAGTGATACAGGTGCAAGCCGGTAGGTAGCCCTGTGGTTACTGCAGGATGGTGAATGTCTGTATGAATTCAGGCCTCTTATTCCTTTTCAAATTTGTTGTTGGGAGATAGATGGGAAAAGGAGAAGAAAAAGGCCCTGGTGAGAAACCCATTGTATCTCTGGTTGTTATGATCACTACCCAATTGTATCATTGTCATTGGTCACTGACTCAGTGCCTAGCTTAATGCCTGGCACATAGTTACTCTAAGAAAGTACAGTGATTGCTGGATTCTCTCTGTCCCTGTGCAGCTCTTCATCAGGTGACTGAGCTCATATCAAGTGTCTGAAGAAGGTGGGTTTTGAGGATCTGGGTCATGATGATTGCTGAAGCTTCTATTCCAGATTTGAAGGGCAGCAGTACTAAGGAGACCCCCAACACTTCCTTCCCTGGTGGGATATGACACCTGGCTCAAGTGAGCTCATAAATCTGGGCAGAAGCATGTTGTGGAATAGCCCTGTGAGGTGTATAAAATAGCCTACAAGCAGAGAAACTCCTTTCATCTCGTCATTGGAGAAGAGGTTTAGCAGGTGGAATTTCCTTCCATCAGCAGTTATGTGCTTTGTGGTAGCTTTTGAGGCCCATGTTAAAGATGCCTTTCATTGTCACAAAGCAATGAATAGTTCATTTGGGGAAGCAACTTGATGTTTAACATGTATTTGCAATAAATTTACATATATTTTTCTGTCTATATAAATAATCATCAGTGATTCCTATGTATCTCTCAAATGGATATGAAAATATGCAGTCGTTAGGTCTTTCTAGCATTTTGAGATTGTAATATAAATTATATAAATTATTTCCTGGTGACCATGGTATTTTTCCATCCTATAATAATTTTTTAAGCCAGAGATTTTGCAAGTGTTAGTTAAAATGTCAGTTGCTATACCTTAATAGTTTCAGAAATAAGAATTACCCCAGAATTCGCTCTATTATAATGATACTAAGACATGTTCCCTAAAATAAACAGTTACTCTTAAGTATCATCATCATTATTTTCTTAGAATGTAATATTTTTATTTTTGTACTTCAAAAAGAAATGAACATCCACTTTTCCAAAAATATTTAAACATTGCAAGTGATTATTATGGTTATATGTAGTGCAGAACGATTGGATCAGACATAGTAAGGATCCATTAATATAATAAGAGTGTAGTAGTGGGAATCTTTTGGCTCATTAATTTAATTGCATCAAAAACTTATTATTATACAAATGTATTTCAAATACTTTCTTTGAGCCACATTGACATACAATATACTGTACATGTTTAAAATATATAGTTTAATAAGTTTTAACATATGTATGCTCTGGTGAATCCAATATTATAGTCAAGATAATGAACATATTCATCGCCTCAAAAAGCTTCCTTATGCCCCTTTGTAATCCTCTCCATCTATCTGTCTCTAGCTTCCCTCTCCATGCCAACCTGTCCCATTCCCGGACAATCACTGGTCTCCTCTTACCATAGATTAGTTTTTGTTTCTTGCCCTTTTAAGTAAATGGAATCATAGGATGCTTATTCTCTTTTTTCTGACCTAATTCATTTGTTAACCCCCCAAAAAAGTGACTGAGGCAAGTGTCTCAATCACTAGAGGTTTATTGAGCCAAAGTTTGAGGACGTGCCTGGGAAAATTGCAAGTCACAGGAGCATCCCTGACTTGTACTTTACAAAGAGGGTTTTGGGAACTCAGTATTTAAGGGCAGAGAGCAAGAGGGAAAAAGGGAGGGAGGGTAGGCAGTGAGGCAAATGGTTACATTCTTCTGAGGTGCTAATTAGCACTCAGTAAATCTGAGTTTTACATAATATAAGATTTGAAAAGAGAGAGGAAAGAGTCGATTATATATTCATTTCAGAGTAGGTAGAAGAGTGATTGATCTTGTCTTTGTTCTGGGAAGGTAAGCTTGTAATTGACACTGTCAGTGTAAGATTTAACAGAACTCAGTTTTAGGAGTTAAACTTTGGTTGCAGACCTAAGGTTACGATTGGCATGTGTTGGTTTTATAGGGGGATATGTATCCTGAAAGATTTAGGGGCTAGCAAGAAATTTCCTTGTGAGCAACATTTGAGGAAGGTCATCTGGGAAGGTATAATGCTTTTTACTGTTGTGGGAATCTGGTTTATGTATTATGCTATGACACAGGGTTGTGAAATTGCAGCTATCTGGGGACAAAGGTTGGTAATGTTGCACAATTCATTTCCCAGGCTTAACTTTTCCCTTGGCGTGATGAATTTGGGGATCCTGAAGTTTCATGTTATTTTACATATTTGACCTAATTATTTTTAGATTTATCCATATTGTTGTATGTATGAATAGTTCCAAATTTGTTCATTTATGCTTTGGATGTTGCTATTTGTGTCATATCTAAAAAATCTTCACTAAAGCTAAGATCGCAACAATTTTCTGTTATGTTTTTTTCTTGAAAATTTATAGTTCTGGCTTTTACATTTAAATCTTCTTTTAAGATCCACTTTGAGTTTTTTAATGATGTGATATATAGATAAAAGTTTATTTTTGTTATCTACCTGTTCCAGCACAAGTTGTTGAAAGGTTGATCTTTTCTGCACTGAATTGTCTGCATTGTTGTCAAAAATCAGTTGTCCTTATATTTGTGGGTCTATTTCTGGACTCTATACTTTGTTCCTTTGATATACATTTCTTCCTTGAAGGCAATAATGCACTGTTTTGGTTAATGTAAGTTTTTAATGAAACATAAATTAGGTAGTGTTTGTCCTCTAACTTTGTTATTTTACAAAGTTGTTTTTCATAGTTTAGGGTCATTTGCATTTCCACATGATTTCTGGAATAAGTTTATTGATTTCTTCTTAAAAATATATGCTAACATTTCTATTGGAGTTGCATAGAATCTAAACATCAGTTTGAGGAGAGTAGATATCTTGACAATACTGAGGGTTCTGACTCATGATGATGGCATTTCTCTTCATTTATTTAGGTCTTCTTTAACTTCTCTCAGCAATGTTTTGTGGTGTTCAATGTACAGGCCTTGCACACATGTGGACAGATTATCCTCATGTATTTCATACATTTTGATGCTATTATAAATGGCAGTATTTCTTTTTTTAGGCTAGAGTGCAGTGGTATGATCACAACTCACTATAGCTTCGGGCTTCTGGGCTCAAGTGATCCACCCGTCTCAGCCTGCCGAGCAGGTGGGACCACAAGTACGTGCCACTATGCCTGACTAATTAAAAAATTTAAAAAATTTTTTTAATAGAGATAGGGTCTTGCTTTGTTGCCCAGGCTGGTCCCAAACTCCTGGTCCCAAACTATCCTCCCACCTTGGCCTCCCAAAGTGCTGAGATTACAGGCATGAGCCACCATGCCTGGCCTAATGGCAGTATTTTCAATTGCAATTTCAATGTATTATATTTTTACTGAATAGTCAGAAGCTGAGTGTTTAACAGTAGCTGCTGGGGAACCTTTTTGATTGAAAGCACAGGCTACTCTAGGGTAGAAAAGATGCTTAATACTTAATGTCTGTATTAGTCAAGGTTCTACAGAGAAACAGAACCAATAAGATATCTATATATCCATATATCTTTAGATATATATAAAGATATTTATTTTAAGGAACCAGCGTCTGTGATTCTGGACGCTAGGTGAGTCCAAAATTTGATGGGGGAGGCCAGCAGGCTTCAGACTCAGGAAAGAGTTGAAGTTAAAGTCCAAAGGCAGTGTACTGATAAACTAGGAAGAGCCAATATTACAGATGAAATCTGAAGAGTGAGCTGGCAGAATTCCCTCTTCTTTGGAGGATATCAGCTTTTTATTCTATTTAGGACTCCGGCTGACTGGATGAGACCCACCCACACTGGGGAGGGCAATCTGCTTTACTTAGTCTGCCAATTTAAATGTAAATTTCATCCAAAAACACCCTCACGGAAACATCCAAAATAACGTTTGACCAAATATCTGGGCACTGTGACCCAGCCAAGTTGACACATCAAATTAGTCATCACAACATACATTTGCCAGTATTTCCACTATCAGCTTTTATAAGTCATTGGTAATGTACTGAAACCAGGGAGAAAAATGTCACTAAGACATTTTTCTAAAGGTCATCTCCAGAGAAATGAATTACTAAAATAAAATAGTTTTGTAGCTCTTGACTTTCTGTGTGTGGGTAGATTTTAATTGTGGAGTTTTCTTTTTATACTTCCAAACAAATCTACCTTGATGAATTCTTGGATTCTTGGGTGATGAGAAAAAGAGGGAGAGAGCATGTATGTATGTGGGTATCTAGGTATGTATGAAGGTGTATTTTGCTGAAGCTGCAGGAATGTTTATTGTGAGAAAAAATTGAGGTTAATTACTGTGCATCATGTCAGTCCTTCAGTTCTTAGCACATGTTAGGAATAAGATCGAGGAGGTGGTTGGTTTTTTGTTTTGTTTTGTTTTTTCCTCCCAGCTTCCCTTCGCTAGCATGGTTACCATGGTGACTCAGTGATTGCTATGGGTTTTGGTGCAGAATGAAAATCTATTTATGATTCTTGCTTGAATCATTTACTACTGTGATAGTTGTCAGGGTTGCTTTTATAATTCTGTCACTTGGTTTAGATTTATTAATTGACATTTGACTGTTGGATAGAGCTATGTGTATGTGTGTGTGTGTGTGTGTGTGTGTGTGTATATATATATATATTTTTTTTTTTTTTGAGACAGAGTTTCGCTCTTGTCGCCCAGGCTGGAGTGCAATGGCGCGATATTGGCTCACTGCAACCTCCGCCTCCTGGGTTCAAATTATTCTCCTGCCTCAGCCTCCTGAGTAGCTGGGATTACAGGCACCCACCACCATGCCCAGCGAATTTTTGTATGTTTAGTAGAGATGGGGTTTTCCCATGTTGACCAGGCTGGTCTCGAACTCCTGTCCGCAGGTGATCCACCTGTCTCGGCTTCCCAAAGTGCTGGGAATACAGGTGTGAACCACTGTACCCAGCTATTTATTTATATTACTGTGATTCATAGATTCCTGGTTTGCTCAAAGATATAGCATTTGTTATTATCAATATTTATTTGATGCTCAAATTATTCCAGAATTGGCCAGTGGAAACCCCTCAAGTTGACCTCAGTCCATTTGATGCCTTCCTAGAATTCCTGGAGCATGCATTTTGCTCTCTGAGCCTATCTCCCCGTAGGTAAAAAGGACGTAAGCTTATCTCCCCATAGGTAAAAAGGATCCCAACCTCAGAGCATTGCTCTGATGATTTGAAGAGTGAAAGTCTAAAAATTACAGCCTACCACATGTGTAGCATCTAGTAGGCCTTAAACAAATTTTGGCTGTCCATTCCCACTTGCCTTCATTCTGTCATTGTAATGCTACTGACATTAACATAGTAGCACAGTGGCTTGTGCCTGTAATCCCAGCACTTTGGGAGGCTGAGGTGGGCGGATCACTTGAGGTCACGAGTCGAGACCAGCCTGGCCAACATGATGAAACTCCATCTCTACTAAAAATACAACAACAACAACAACAACAAAACCCAATTAACCAGACATGGTGGTGCACTCCTGTAATCCAAGCTACTGGGAAGGCTGAGGTGAGAAGATTGCTTGAACCTGGGAGGCAGGGGTTACAGTGAGCCAGTAGCATGCCACTACACTCCAGCCTAGTTGACAGAGTGAGACTCTGTCTCAAAAACAAAAACAAAAACATAATAGCATGATTACCAGAGAGAATATTTGGAAATGTAACACCAAGCAGTGATAATATTATTAAACTTTATTTTTTAAAAAATATTTCATTAACAAAGATTCTATATATTTAAGTTGTACAGTGTGATGATTTGACACACCTATACATTATGTAATGATTATCACAATCAAATTATAACACATCTATCACCACGCATGCTTTATTCTAGATTCCCAGAACTTGTTCATCTTAAAACTGAAAATTTATGCCCTTTGGTTAACACCTTCCCATTTCCCTGACTTTCTAGCCTCTGCAACCACTGCTCTATTCAGCTTCTATGAGTTTGACCTTTTAAGATTTTACATATAAGTGAGATCATGCAATATTTTTCTTTCTGTGTCTGACTTATTTCACTGCTAATGTCTTCTAGGTTCATTCATGTTGTTACAAATGGCAGTATTTCCTTCTTGTTTATGGCCGAATAATAGATATATATTATTATATTATATATTATATATTATATATATATATACACACACACACCACATTTTTTATATTCATTCATTCACCGATAAACAGTCAGGTTTATTCCATATTTTGGCTATTTTGAGTAATGCTGTAATGAACATGGGAATGCAGATATTCCTTCAAGATACTGATTTCATTTCCTTTGAATATATACCTTGAAATGGGATTGCTGTATTGTATGGTAGTTCAATTTTTAATTTTTTGAAGAATCTCCATACTGTTTTCCATAATGGCTGTACCAAGTTACTTTCCCAGCAACGGTGTACAAAAGTTCCCTTTTCTTTACATACTTGGTAACACTTGTTACCTCTTGTCTTTTTGATAATAGCCATCCTTACAGCTGTGAGGTGATATCTCATTGTGATTTTGATTTGTATTTCTTTATGATTAGTGATATTGTGCACCTTTTCATACACTATACCTGTTGGCCATTTTTATATCTTCTTTAGAAAATACCAATTCAGGTCCTTTGCTATTTTTTATTGAGTTGTTTGGGTTTTTTCCTATTGCATGGTGTGAGTTCCTTTCATGTTTTGGGTATTAACTCTTTATCAGTTATGTGGTTTGCAGATATTCTCTCTCATCCCATAGGTTGTCTTTTCATTTTGTTGTCTCCTTTGCCATGCAGAAATTTTTTAGTTTGATGTAATTCTACTTGTTTATTTTTGCTTTAGTTGCCTATGCTTTTGGAGTCATATAAAAAAAAATTGCCAAGACCCATGTCAAGGACCCATGTCTCTGTTTTCCCTATGTCATCTTCTGGGAGGTTCACAGATTCAGAGTTTATGTTTAAGTCTTTAATGCATTTGAATTAATTTTTGAATATGGTGTAAAACAATGGTCCAATTTCATTTTTTTTTTTTTTGCATGTGGATATTCAATTTTCCCAATGCTATTTATTGAAGACACATTCCTTTTGTCATTGTGTATTCTTGGTGCCCTTGTCAAAGATCAGTTGACCCTGTATGTGTGAACTTATTTCTCGGCTCTACTCTGTTCTTTTAGTCTATGTGACTGTTTGTATTATGCCAGTACCATGCTGTTTTGATTACTATATCTTTGTAATATAGTTTGCAGTCAGGGGAATGTGATGCTTCCTGCTTTGTTCTTCTTTCGTAAGGTTGCTTTGGCTATTCAGGGTCTTTTGTAGTTTCTTATAAATTTTAGGTTTATATTATCTTTTCCTATGAAAAATGTCATGGGATTTTTGATAGGGATTGCATCACCTCCTTGGTTAAATTTATCCAGTGTGAAATAGATCTTTCACCTCCTTGGTTAAATTTAATCCTAAGTATTTTATTCTTTCTGATTCTATTGTAAATGGGATTGACTTCTTTTTCACATAGTTTGTTGTTAGAGTGTAGAAACACAACTGATTTTTGTATGTTCATTTTGTAACCACAGTTTTACTAAATTCGTTCATCAATTCCAACAGTTTTTGGTGGAGTCTTTAGGGTTTTATTTGTAGAAGATCATGTCATGTGCAAACAGATACTTTAACTTGTTCCTTCCTTTCTGATTTAGATGCTTTTCATTTCATTCTCTTGCCTAACTTCTGGCTAGGACGTCCAGTGTTAAGTTGAATAGAAGTGGTGAGAGTGGGCATCCTTACCTTGTTACTGATCTTAGAGGAAGCTTTCAGCTTTTCACCATTGAATATAATGTTAGCTGTGGTCTTGTCATATGTGGGTTTTGTGTGTGTATGTTGAGGCTCATTTCTTATATACCTAATTTGTTGAGAGTTTTTATCCTGAAAGGATGTTGAATTTTGCTGAATGCCTTTTATTCATCTATTGGGATGAACATATGGTTTTTGTTGTTCATTCCATTAATGTCATTTATAGATTTGGATATATTGAGCCACCCTTGCATCCCAGGTATGAATCCCTAGTGATCGTGTTGAATGATCTTTTTAATGTGCTATTTAATTTGGTTTGCCAGTATTTTGTTGAGGATATTTGCATCTATGTTCATCAAGAATATTGGCCTGCAATTTTCTTTTCTTGTAGTGTCCTTGTCTGGCTTTGTTACTAGGGTAGTACTGGCCTTGTAAAATGAATTTGGAAGTGTTCTCTCCTCTTTAATTTTTGGGAAGAGTTTGAGAAGAATTGGTATTAGTTCTTTAAAAGTTTGGTAAAAATTAGCAGTGAACCATCAGGTCCTGGGCTGTTCTTTGATGGGATACTTTTATTACTGATTCAATCCCCTTGTTGGTCAGTTCATATTTTCATATTTCCTACTTTTTCATAGTTTAGTCTTGGTAGGATGTATGCATCTAGGAATTTATCCACTTCTTCTAGGTTACCCAATTTGTTGCCATATAGCTGTTCACTTCTCTTCACACTGTTCTTTTGAGGTAGTCTCTTATCAACCTTTGTATTTCTGTGATGTCATTGTAATATCTCCTCTTTCATTTCTGATATGGTTTTTTTTTTTTTTTTGAGACAGAGTCTTGCTCTGTACCCAGGCTGGAGTGCAATGGCGTGATCTCGGCTCACTGCAATCTCCACCTCTCGGGTTCAAGTGATTCTCATGCCTCAGCCTCTCAAGTAGCCTCTGAAGGGATTACAGGCATGCACCATCACGCCCAGCTAATTTTTATATATTTTGTGGAGACGGGGTTTCGCCATGTTGACCAGGCTGATCTTGAACTCGTGGCCTCAAGCTATATGCCCGCCTCAGCCTCCGTAAGTTCTGGGATTACAGGCATGAGCCACCACACCGGGCCTACTTCTGATTTTATTTATCTGAGTCATCTGTCTTTTTTACTTTGTTAGTCTTGTTAAAGTTTTGTTGAATTTTTAAAAATCTTTTCATAAAATCCACTCTACTGTGGATTTTTCTATCGTTTTTCTCATCTCTATTTCAGTTATTTCTGATCTGGTCTTTATTATTTCATTCCCTCTACTAACTTTGGGCTTAGTTTGTTTTTATTTTTCTAGTTCCTTGATGTATAACATTAGGTGGTTTATTTGGAATCTTCTTCTCTTTTGATGTAGACATTAATTACTCTAAACTTCTCCCTTAAAACTGATTTTGCCACAACTCATGAGTTTTGGTATGTTTCCATTTTGGTGTATTTCCATTTCTATTTGTCTCAAGGTATTTTTAAATTTCCCTTTTAATTTCTTTACTGACTCATTGGTTGTTTAGGACAATGTTGTTTAATTTCCATATTTTTATAAAATTTCTGAAATTCCTTCTACTATTGATTTCTAGTTTTATACTATTGTGGTAAAAAAAATACACTTGATATTATTTTAATGTTGAATTTGTTAGGACTTCTTTTGTTGACTAACATATGATCTATCCTCCAGAATATGTGCTTGAGAAGAATGTATATTCTGCTGAGGCACAAAGCACAGATATGCATGGAAGGACTATGACTCTGGTATCTGGTGCAGTAATGTACCTGATATCTGGGGTGCTGGCACCCCTGATGTTGTGTTATGGCA